CAAATGAGAGAGAGAAAGAATTCTATTTTTAGTCGAGAAACGGATCTTGATATTAAATAATATTCATATGTAAATATACAAATATATTTTTCAGCTCTATAAACTGCGTATCGATTTGATTTGTCGAATTTAAATCGCGAATTAGAGCTGAAATAATAGGCCTGTTCTTTTCAGCTGAACTTCTTGCATAATTCATCTTTCATCTTTTTCTTTTAACGTTGAAGAGAAAAAGAGTCAAGATTAATTGTGCAAGAAGTTCAGCTAAAAAGAACAGATCTAATGTCACAAATTAAAATGCTCATTAATTTAATAATGATGTGAATAAGCATCTTAAAAATCTGCGAAAAACTTATTGTAAAAAATATCATCTCAGAATTAGAATTTGGAATTTCGAGGAGCGTCGTATCAATTATTCAACCACTAAGACATATAGTGACAGATTGATATTAATCGTAATAATCACTAGTGAGAAAACGTCATTTTTCAAGAAGACGTGTATAAACAATAATGAAAAAATTAAATCGATAAAAGTAAATCTAATAAAGGAAAGATTCTCTCGTATAATTTATTATAAACGAGAAATATCAAAATAAAATTTAGATCTAATAGATCAATATCGAGATAGATAAATATTACAAACCCGAAAAGTAAAATTGAATTTCACGTCACGTACTATCAACAAGAATTTCCTAGTAAATGCATGATCAAACAACGCTAATCTTCAACCGCGATGTTTCGTGCCATGCTAAAATCGATAATCGGCACGATATGACATGAAAATGCGTGCACGAGTGCATACGCATATACATCTATCTATGCGGGAGATATATCTGTGAATTTTTGCGTAACCATCGGGGTTAACCTCCTTGCAACACTTATTGCATGAAATATCGAAGGTACGTTTTTACATTCGTATTTATATTGCGCGCGTGTGATCTGCAATTATATTTTTCGCCGATACATAAAAAATAATTAGTCATTAACGAGTTTAGGCCGGTCGGCACGAAACGATATCGCAACTGTTTGTTCGCCAAGTGGTCACGACGCGACGGTTTAATTTAAATAATGTATGTTAAAATCGAACTTAATACCACGCCTTCTCTCGTGATAAAACTCTGCGAGCGTTTAATTCCCCGACGATTATCGAAATAAATGCCAAATTTATACTCATGGGACAGACGATTCGAATGAGTATAACCAACACAAAGCATTTTCGGTCTGGGATTGCGTAAATATGCTCGGCGAGTTATTGCGATTTTATGTCGATATAATCTCAGGGTATTATAACGATGTTGTAATATCGTTTGGATAAAATATCAAAACACCGTGGATGAAAAACAAATCGTATTTTAAATAAATATGGTAGTTTATTATTAAAAAAACGAAGAGCGATTTATACAGATAGAGAAAAATTCAACATTCCCCTCAGGATTATAATGTACAATCATCGCTTATATTCCGAAGATCAATTAATTTTTCATGCTTTTTTACACAAAAGTGTGTTATTTATAAAATTTCAGTATGATAGGTATCTTTATTTATAAACATATATCTATATAACGGATTTTAACTAATTAGTTAATAGATTTTTATCTACCTATACATAATAGATATATTTATAACTTATATAATATATGTACATCTTATATAGATATATATATAGATATTATATATCTATATAGTATAAATAATCACAAAAGAGATATGTATCGCACATTTCAAGAAATAAATATCAAACTTCGTAATAATTTACTAGAAAATACTATTTCAACTAAAATTGTGTATTATATTTTAACATAATTATTCCATTCATAATTACTCCATTTTATGACAGTAAATAATTATTATAGAATCAATAACTATTTTTTTCTTACAGTTCTATAGCAATTTTAAACTACGGAAACTATTTGATCACAGCAAACTATATTATTCAAATAAAATATTCAATATTTTATTGGTATTATTCCGATTGATCTTTGCAAAAATGTAAATGTTGCGAAAATTAGTCATATCATTAGAGTTATCGCAAAAATTAATCTGTCCTAAGCTGCGGTGGGAATTCCAGGAAATCGGAGCTAACGATCTGAAATTGCGCGAAAACATGCTGGACCTTCGATGTTCACGCTGCGCGATTAACGCTAAACGCTACTGTACGGTTTTGAGCGCTACTGATATAACCGATTGCTTACATGCACGACGCCAGCAAGGGATTAGATCAAAGCAGCCTATATTTGGTGTTCCACGCACGTTGGAAATTTGACTCTTGTGGTTTCGGGATGAATCTTTGAATGTTATGCAAGCAGATGCATGTCGACTAAATATTTATTCGAAATGTTAGCAGAATTATAGGTATGATATGCGAAATGTCACCAGTTCGAAATTTCAACTTCACGGTTGCACATAATTTCACAGAATATCTATAAGATAATTATTAACAAAAGATAAGCGAAATGAAAAAAGCTTGCATAACGTAATAAATATCGTTATTAATAATTTTAATCTTATAATGTTTAATTTTATTTTACTCATTAATACATCTAACAATTATTTTTAATTAAAATAGATTGTTTCTTTATGTGTAATTTATGTAGCTTCTCATTATATATATAAAATAATTTTTACTTTTTGCAAATAAATAATTTAATATTCAGTCGAAGGTAGTACGAATGAAACTCCTATAAATATTTTGTACATTGCGATCAAAGCTTGTAACAATTTGTTATCAATAAATATTTAGTTCGATTAATTAAAGAAAGAGAAATAATCTTTTGAAAAGTTAGATTAAAAGAAAACGACTAAATATGAATATTGGACCTAGATACAAATGTATATAGATACTACAAGTACTCATTATATTATTAGTCGCATTAATGGTAATGTTAAAGATTAATTAGGATACATTTACGTAACACGTGAAGAAAATTGAACAATACACGTCGGAATCTGTCTCAACCAGACGTATGCTACTGCATATCGTAGAATGTATTGATGTAGCAACTGATTAATGTAGCAATGTCCAATTCACATCAGGATCATAACTCAATAGATCCCTGATATATTATTCCGCTCGTAAGATCAACTACGCAGAATTCTCGTTAACGTGTAGCGTTCGGTGTACCGACTGCAGGCTTGAACAAATACCACTCAACAACGAAGGCTATACCACGGGTATGCCGTGCCGCACGGTCTCGTATAAACGTGTAACAGGCGGAACATTTTGCTCTAGATCCGTCCGATCAATCCCGTCCCATCTAAAAGCACGCGCTGGCACGTATCCTTTTAGAATCGCTAAAGCCCGCTTGCACGTTGCGATGGAACCCGTGAAACCGTCCAGCAAAGCCCGTTCTATGATCTAAACAGAGTGGCGATCCCCCTAAAAGAAAGTCAAAACCTCGTTTCAGTGGATCCGACATTACATTGAAATAGTTTCGTCTACATCAAACTGCTGTTGGAAAATTTACGCAAGCTCTCAAATACGTTTAAAAAAAAACACGACCAATAAACGTTTACCTCGAAAGATTTGAAAATAAATCCGTCCATGATATTAATTAATTCTTGCTCGATGATCAAAAATTGGTAAATTAACATTGGATTTTTTGTAAATTCAAGAGGAATTGAGAATTATTAGATTAGGCACTAATTCGCAATTAATCTATGTAAAAAAAATAGGGCTCTTCATCAACAAATAAAATTAATGTTACTGAAAGATTTGTTGATGGGTAAATTAATATCTACATACTATGAGACAAAAATTTCTATTCGTATCGAAACCGTCCTCGACTATACGAAAGCTTCTAGATAATTTCACAAATATGTAATTCGAAAACACTTTCCACAGAATTATTAGTCCGTGATTCCGCATATACGTGGATCGCCAAGCTTTTGGATAAAGCACTTATAGATCTCAGCTTCAATAAGCTCTTGCACTGATATAGCGTTCGCAATCGAGAGTTTCTACCTCGTGCACTAACATTAACAGCCCTTATTGTCGATAGAGGCGAGTCTGCGGTGCATACTTGGCAACGGTATTCACGTCGATAACTTTCTGTAAACAGGAACACGTTACGCGTCTCTATCAATGTGTTGTAGTTTGGCAATCTTGCCGAGTCTTGCTAGAGTTCAGTGGGTAGTGCAAGCATGAAATTATTAACTGAAAGAAAAAGAGGAAGAGAAGGTAAAGTAAACAGAGAAAGAAAGATAGAAAGAGAAAAACAGAGAGAGGGGGTTGAGGGACGAGAGGGAGGAGACAGAGGGGAGGGAGGGGGGAGGGAGAGGGAGAGAATATACAAACGTGTGCAGGGCAAATGGTATTCCAGTATAGTGTACTATTACATATTGATCGAGCGCGATAAAGATTATTTAGAGCCTATTCAATATAACCTATTCAATATAAATTAAATGCCTAAAGCATGCCTATTATTCCACTAAAGTGGAACCACATGAATGATATGCCTAAAGCATGACCTGTTATTCTATAGAGTCTAATTATACCGCCCACTGTTTTTCCTACAAAAAGAAAGAGATAATCTTCGCGACTGCATCATGTAATTAGGCTGCGTATTCAGGATAGAGGCAATTCATACGGTTCAAGAAGAATTACGACAGCCGCTAATAACCGGCGTCTGATACGAACAAAGTTCGCCGATCTGTCAGCAGCGACAACATCATAATTCTCGCGAAGACGTCGGAGACAGCCGCGGGGTCGACAACAAGACAGACTCCTCGACGAACGTCGTGCTCCGGTGCACCCCCGCAGCGGTCATCCCTCCGTGGCCGCGGCGCCTTTGCTTGGAGAGATAGACGAGGGGAGAGAGAGAGAGAGAGAGAGAGAGAGAGAGAGAGGGGGGGGGGGGGGGGGGGGGAGGAAGAAAGAGAAGAGAGAGGAGAGGAGCGGTCTGCGCGTAACCGGTCCGCGCTTTATCCGCGGCGAACGCAGCAAAGTCATCGCGCAAGCGCGCGGTGACGAAGTATCCCCCGCAGGATCATTTCGCGCCGCGACGCCGAGCGGCAGGCCTCATCCGCGCCGCCGGCTGGTCCATGCGGGTTCAACGTCGTCGCGCGGGAGGACGACGACGGCGACGACGAAGGGCGACAACGCAGCCCGACGACGATCAGAGGTGTACTACGATGACGATCGTCCGGCAGTCTTGCTAGTTAATCGAGAAAAAAACGCGACTCGGATCAACCTGATTGAAAGCTGCCGACGCGCGCGTCTCGGCCGAAGGATGCTGCGCCTGAGACAGGGCACTCGCGGATCGCGCGTCGCGACGCTCGTCCAGGCGAAAGCTCCACGTGAGCGCGGCTGTCATCGGGGACGCGTGCAGGTGCACCTCGGCCGCGTGAGAACTGCCACGGGACATCATCTGTGAGCATTTAAATCTTGATTACCGTGGATTACCGTCGAGGATTTACGATCGATACGCGCATAGCATCTGACAATACTGCTGATATATCCTACCATCCGCGTCTCCTACGCTTGGGAAGCTTTCGCGCATTCAGAGTTGATAGTTCTAATAAAATCGTGTCATAGCAGTGGTGAATGATTAATCTCTCCTCGCCAGGTGTTAATCGTGGTGTAATTTCTCTATCGGAACACAAATGTTCATGTAAGAATTAAAAATTGCTTATAGTGAAGTACGGAACATGTGTATGGTTTTGCGGTGAAAGTCTCAAGTGTCTATGCTCCTTTCGAGAAGGCACTATCGATTTGATAAGAAAACTCAATTCTGTTTTCATTGTGGATGATATGACACAGTGAAGACACTGCACAGTGTGCGGATCCGGGGATATATGTAAAAATCGATGATTACACGTCGTGCTTCACGATAGCGAGTACAAGCAAGGATCAGTAGTGCAGCGAGCGATCGAGGTGTTAAAAATGCTGTGTCGCTGGCTCGCCGTGTTGGTACTCGCTGGTATTCTCCTGGTTATCGAGGCGATCGCGGTCAGCCAAGGTACGTTGCAATTTCGTCTGAAATCCTCAGAACGTTAGCGAACGACTAACTTGTCCAACGGGAACTTGACTTTGCTAAGGAAACTTACCGCGTTCTTGCGGAAATACTCGAGATAACATACTCCTGTGAGACTAATCTACGTAATTGAATGTCAACGGTGAAATCTGATACAGTACCCTCATTTTCACATTCATCTAGAAAACTTATTACGTCGCTAAAACTAAAGTACTACTGTAGAGTATAATTTGCAGTCATGCTGCAAATTCAAGTATGTAATAATGAGCGTCTTCATATATGATTTAATTTTCCTTATAAAAATAATACTGCACTGCATATTATATAAAATAAATTTATTAAATGTGTAGTACTCTCTAAATTCTTTGGAGTGAAATCTCAGTCTGAAAAGTGCAAATTCTGCCAGTCTTAAAAGAGTGGCAAAATTTTCAATCTTTAAAAGTGCGATTTTATTCTTTAGAATGAGATTCCAAAGAATTTAGAGAGTACAGTTATTTTTTATACAAAAAATAAATCACATTTCAAAAGGCACTTATTACACATTTGAATTTGTAGGTATCGATTGTAAATATCATCGATACTTTTTCATGCCGTGTTCTCTTCTCGCGTGCGAGTATAATACAGTTCTATTACGATTACAAACTTTTTTAACGTTTCCATAGAAAAACATCATCACTGGTAAAATAAGTGTTCCGTAAAATCAAACGTGTAGCGTCGCAAGAAATCTCTGCTCCATTACGCTATATTGGAGCTTTAAGAACCTTCGCAAAGCAAGTTAAGCTTTTTCGCAGTCGTCTACCTCTAATCAACGCGCGCAGTCTTGCATTACTAATCGCGAATTAATGAGAAACACATGCTCAAAGAAATTCTCAGATGCTAATTGGAATCAATACGTACTTAAGCCTTTAAATCAGATTTGCTCAGCGTTATCTCAAAAACGATCTAGATCTTTTCTTAACTCCAATGCATTACATAATTATCTAGTAACTATACTAAATAACTACTATATCAAAATTTAAATGATACGTAAAATCAAGAATATAAGATATCCACATTATTTTAACATATATTTTAACATATATTTTATCACCTATAAAATTGAACGTTTAACCGTATAAGTTAAATCAAATGATATCTATGTATAAAATTACATGTTAACTTCAGTAATGAAAGGACAAATTGTACTGGAAATATATCTCCTCCCCAAAGTCACCTGAATTCCAGCGGCATCGGAATTTTCGCGCTGGGCGTGAAATTGTATGGAGTTACATAACATTTGCTCATTCGCGCAGCTCCGGTTGTCGCTCATAGCAATCCAAAGTAATTACGTGGGCGAAGATTATGTCACTTCGACTGAACCGCACCAGCATCCCGTTTCTAAACTTGCGGAAATATCTGCGCGGCGAGTTCGCGGGTGCCAAGTTTGGAAACATCGCGGTCGCATTCAGTCTCGCGCCGCTAATTGTCGGTTCATAGTCAGTGATCCAGGATAATTGCGCGGATGGTGGCTGCTCGAGTGCAAATGCACCGCTCGGGACCACGTAGCGGGAGATGGCATACGTGCTAATGCGCGGAAACACGTGCGAGAATTTGCCTCGTATACGTTTTAAGCGTGCTACGACGACAACGACGACAATGACAACGATGGCGACGACCGCGACTATGAGATTGTCTAGCCACCGCCAGCGGCGTTTTACGACAAGATGTCGCTTGAATAATTAAAAGTCGGCTCGTTTGCTTGGTATTCACCAGGCGTACCAGTATCGACCTGAGGATCGGAAACGTACAATCGTCAACGGCTGGTGCCATGATTACGGATACGGATGAAATCCTTACAATCAGAGCGCGCGACAAAATGTGGCACGTATCAGAGACGCGAGTGCACAGAGAGGCACAAACGGAACAAAAGCACTCGTCTCGCTTCGCATCGTCCGCGCATATTGGCTCGAGAACGTAATTGAGTGCGACGTGCAAACACTCGCGGCAATTGTTTTGCCGTTTGTCAAGGGAGACATGATTTCACCACTTTGAAACTAGTCTGGCAGCTGGAACGCGGTATTCCGCGAGAGATAACGAGCATTGTCTGTCTTTTTCGCAGCAAGACTGAAAAAAAGTTGAGGAAACAAAGAAACGGGAAAAATGAATTAATAACCAAGAGAGATAAGATGTAATAAAATATTCAAGTCAAATTGCTTAAGAAATAAAGATGAAAAAAATTGTTTTACTGAAATATCTAAAAATAATTTTGTTGGATTATCAAAAAATAATGAGGATGCTCAAATGTCAAAATCTTTGCAGCATCATCATCCATGTTTAAGTATCCTACATTATTATTTTGATGGTGCAACCAAATTATTTGCAAACCGTCCTTTCTGAGTATAAAAATGTTATTAAAATGCATTTGGTTTAAGACTTCTTTCAACTTTTGGTGAAGTTAATCCACGATTAACTTGTAGAAGTACCAATAGCAGTTCAATGTATCAGAATCTGATTGTGAGACAAACTGTATTTAGTTCTCACATTGACAATCGATGGTTGATTTCTGTCTTTTTCTACCAATGTTCTTTAATTTTAATTTCGGTTCAACTAACTCTTCATCTTTTTTTAGTTTTAAAAACAAGAAAAAGATGAAGAGTAAGTTGAACTGATTGAAGTTAATCTACATTAATAGAAACAGGCATTAATTATCAATTAATTATTTAATCAGAGATTGATGAAAGAGGCCCTTAGACATTAATTAATACTAATTTGTTAATATATCAAAGAATGTATTATAAATATATTCCGATTATTGTAAAGTTATTGTAAAGTGTCAAAGTTTCAAATCAATTAAAAATAGACAATGCCTGCAGCAAAATGCTCTTTTTATTCGCGACACACACAAGTATCATTTTTTTCATTCAAACGTTCAGGTTCATCCATTAACTTCCCATTCATGTATCGATCCGATATATTTGTATGCGAATTTTATTGCTCTCGTCTAATTAATTGTTAACGAGCGCGGAAATACTTGCATGATCGACGATGATGCACAGATACAGCCGCGTGACGCGTATGCGTTTAACGCTAATGTGATTCACCGACTTGAGTGACGTATATGCGAGTCGTGGACATGTGGCTCGTTCGTGAAAACATAATCGACGATTCGGAGGTGCATTAGAAACTATTTGTAGCGCACAAAATTTAACGAACGCTTTCGATTAACGTTGGAACTAATACTTTCGCGCGCGATATGAATACTTGACCTGTTATACATTAATTTTTTGAAATTTTTCAATGACACCAAACGCCGCACTATCAATTTTCCGACAAAATATAAAGCTATTCGCAATTTTCGCGAAACAAGCAAGTAATGAAACCGTCCGACCCGCATTATAATAATTGCAATGCTGCCATGCAGTCATCATACAAAAAAAAGTGAATGGATGAAATAATAACTGCTTGTTAATAGAAAAGTGGCAAAATATGACCTTTCGAGCATTAAAATAGTAATCAAAAATGATACTTTTTCAAATTTTCGAGTAATTAAGGCCTTTTAAGCAATAAAAATTTTGCTCTTATTTTCACTGGTCTATTTTTAGATGGCATATATACTATTATCCAAGTACAATACTATTAGTATAATACTATCAGCAAATACTATTATTAACATTATACTATTATCCAAGTAATGCGAAAGGATCATAACACATACGTCAGATGATAAAAAAAGATAAAATTTTAAAACTGCAACAAAAACAAATGTATTCTTTAAATATGCGAAAAATATTTGTGGTCTCCAAAAGTTATGTTAGTTTTACATTTGAAGCTTAAAGAGACAGACTTACTGAAGTCATCAGTATCTAGTTAGCAACAAGAGAAAGAGGGAGGGGGAGAGAGAGAGAGAGAGAGAACGAATAACAATTGTTATCGAATGAGACAATAAAAATATGAATAGAACGCTTATGTTTTACAAATCTCATGTCAGTTCAGGAAAGAAAGATGATTATAGTGACCCATATAGACTGCAATGAGTTTTTAGTGACTTATAAAAAAAACTTAATAAAAAGTGACTGGATATAACGCTATAATTAGCGTTGAAAAGGTCAATGCTGTCAATTCAACCAGAAATTATAACAGATTGCGTGCTATTGCAGTTCGATGTAAAGAACGTAAATCGCTCGATCGAACGGTTTAAATCCATCTAATCTGCGACAATGGCTCACACGCGAAATAATTAACACACGATTCGCGCCGCTCTTTGACGCACGCATTTTTAATATAATCCGCTTCCGGACGCAACGTGTCGCGTGCACAGCGTAATTGCAATCGCTCAATTAACCGGGATCGCGATGTAGTCATGAGAGTTTTTAATTAGCCTGAAAATCATGTCTTAAACAGAGAGAGAGAGAGAGAGAGAGAGAGAGAGAGAGAGAGAGAGACAGTAATCTGCTTTACCTACTTAAATATATCCCCTTTGAGCTGTCTGTTATTCAGGTCGTTCATTTTTTTTTGTCATTTATGAGCTCGCTTTTGAAAGAGAAGATTACACATTCCCATAGGAACAAATGACCAAAAGTAGACATCAAGCTTTTAATAAAAGGAACGGATTTAAAACAATTTTCTCCTTTCTTAAACCACTCTTTTAAAAACCCTCTTCTCTAATACATGAGCTCAAACAGCTCTTCGGTAGATATTGTCTACGAACCGGATGTAAACAAGAAAATCGCACAATCTTTTCGTAAAATATTAAAACTTAGGAATCCATTAAGACATGCGAAACATCATCGCAAAGTATACGCGATATGGTCGGTAAAAAGTAGTCCGTTTCAACGGAAACTCGTTAAGACCGTCCTCTAATTGCAGAAAATCAATCTTGCGAAGTTGCACGAACGAGAACATCGCTTTTCACCGACACGCACAAAATCGCGTCGTTAGTCTCTGTAATTATAGAGACAGTCTGGACCGGGGGAGTTCGTTTCGACTCGATCCAATGCGCAATTTTA